AGCAGGAACAGTTCATCTGAGAATGGCTTTCCACAACGTGCTTATGCCAGTATAACAAATGTCTGCTTTTCCATCCACTCAGCTATTTGTGTTGCTGTGTCCTCGCTAGCACTCTCCTGGTCCTTTTGAGCCAATTTAACTCATTTTTCCTGTGAATTAGTTCTTGTGCTATTTCATTAATGTACTAAGAAGTCAGACGAGTACTAGAGTCTCCCCAGCCTAAATGGCAAAATAAGGGATGAGGGACAAGGAAACAGGACCGTCTACCGTTAACAACAGCAAACAGCGTATGCAACTGTATGCAGCTACACCACGAATACCTTAAGGGAAAGCAAAACTAAGCTTTAATGGCAGGTTTTTTATGGCAGTTTTTATTTTTTTTATGGCAATTGCTCAAAATGCTGCTCAGTAAAGATTTGACAACAAAGATGTTGATGTATCTTTAAGTTCTTAATTCTGATCCTGTTGAAAACGTTCCATGGTTTTAGCATATGAATTTTTTAAATTGTCTCTCTCCATCTTGTTTCTCTCTGTTTCTAGATGGTGTTTGTATCCCTGGGCGCACCAAGGAGGGAACGTAAAGGTGAAGGTGTTCAACTTCCAGCATCTTGCCTACCTCCTCCTCAGAAGGACAACATTCCAATGCTTTTACTCCTGCAAGAACCTCATCTTACCACCCTTTTTGATTTGCTAGAGATGCTTGCCTCTTTTAAGCCTCCTTCTGGAGAAGTGACTATGGAAGATAGTGAGGTAATTGAGAGCAGTTTTATTAGAATAATTACATTTAAGTCTTATTTAACTGGATCTATTTTTCCTACTTAGCCTAGTTCTTGTGTACCGTATCCAATTGCTTGATATGTTTATTGTCTATATATTCCCATTTCACCTGTGATATAATCTTTATCATGATTTTTCTGATTTTCCTAACATTGTTCTGATATATTTTACATGTTCTAAATACTGAAGAAGCTATAAAAGAAGTAATTCTTAAGAAAGAATATTCGTTATTGAAATAGATGTAGTGACTAATAATGAGAGTTGGCTTGAAGAAAGGTTTGTAAAGGTTTTATTGCAAAAACTCAAGTTTCATGTCTTATATGCCATAATTAGCTTGTGGGAAATTAAATAACCACTAGTATATTAGAACAAGAAGTTTATTTTTTAGTTTTATTTACACTCAAGTATTTAAAATATGCGATACGCTGTAAAGATAACGGAACTTAGTTTCTTGCAGGTTCAGCGAGACTTCAATTATCATGTTCTGTTTATGGATTTACATTAGATAGGAAGACGATAGCTCTTTAATTAAGAATAAGTATATGTTTGGACTTTGAAATCTTATTTTCACAAAGAAGTTCACAATAAGAATGTTTGTTCTATGGTTTGTCAGAGTGCAAGGTGTGAAGAACTCCATCTCCATGCAGAAAACTTATCTAGACGTGTCTGGGAGCTGTTAATGCTTCTGCCAACATGCCCTAATATGTTGCAGGCATTCCAGAATATTTCAGATGAGCAGGTAAACAAAGAATGCTTGTTTTATAAGTTTGTCTTTATTATACATGGATGCTTTAGTGTTTAGTGTTTTAGTTGAATTTTCCCCAGATAGGAATGTTAGATAGCAAATAGGTTAAGTATGCTGAGACACGAGTAAACCTACTAAACAAACCTAACAATTCTCATGAAATTAAATTGAGATGTGAACTTAGTTCCCAAAGTTTGTTTTTATGATTTCTTTTTAAAAAACGAGTTAATATATGAGTAGTCAATACTAATTGTCACCATCTTTTGGCTTGAGTTGAAACAGCAGTTTCTTCATCTGCAGCCTTGCTTTAATATTGTGACTGTGGTGATAGTAATCCTTTTGTACTCTCCTCTATAATTTCAAAATATGGGTACTTACCTAGTTGTTTTCTTAGTCTGTAGATGAAAATTTTGCCTCTTTTAAAATTGTTGAAATTATGTATTAACAGTTTTTAGATGCTATGGTTCTTTATGGACACATGCATCAAAATTTTGGTGAAAGTCATAATTTAAAGTATAACATTTGGCTTCCTCTACTTCAAAATTGTGTGTACCTTAGCTTATAATAGCTAAGTTGGAGGTTTATGCAAATTTCATTGCTGAATGCACATTATTCAAATTGTTAATCATGTATAGAAATATGCTTGAAATGTTCTAATTTCAAATAATAGATGAAATGAAAAAGCAAATAATTTGTCCATCTCACTTCAGAAATCCTCTCCTTCCATTTTTCAGATAGGTCAGCATTACATCTGTGCCTTTACCGTTTTCTGTCTTTTTTATCTTTTAAGGGTAATGACGGCTTTAGCTGGAAGGATCTTCTGCGAATAAAAAGTGCTCATAAGCTTTTGTATGCCCTGGAAATTATTGAAGCGTTGGGAAAGCCCAACAGGAGAATAAGACGTGAATCTACGGTAATAGACCTTCTTGCACAGAATATATGTTTTTCTCTCTGACTCAAAGTATATACTGATGAGTTATTTTATAGTATTTTTAATTCTTTAACTGTTCTTACAATGAATTGTTCTTGTTTATCTTTAGGGAAGTTATAGCGATCTTTACCCAGACTCAGATGATTCGAGTGAAGATCAAATAGAAAATAGTAAAAACACGTGGAGCTGCAAGGTTTGATTTTCCTACAGTATTTTGTAATACCTAATATAATTTAAAAAAAAAATATAAAATGAAAACCCATTTAAAACATGATCTATCTTAGAGTTTTTGATCTCAAACATAAAACATTTTAAAGTTTTTCTGTGTTAGCAGGCCTGTAAATTTGTTATAGTTGTGTACAACTATTTCATTGTTTTTCATAAAATACCCAGCTGAATAGTTTATCAGATTTTTTTGTTTAGTTATAAAGCTTAGATTGGTATCTAACTGCATTTAGTGATGTTTCTGTATTTGCTTTTTCTCACCTTGGTTCTGTAATATACCTACAGTTTGTTGCTGCTGGAGGGCTCCAACAGTTAATAGAAATTTTCAATTCTGGAATCTTAGAGCCTAAAGAACAGGAGTCATGGACTGTGGTAGGTGTTTATTCACCCCTTTTTTCCAGAATAACATAGCGCTCATTTGTAAAGACTTTCATTACTTTCAGCCTTTGTTATAGTTACTTTTCTGTAGTAAGTGAAGTAAATGAATTCTAGAATTGAAACCACCGGAGTCTATGCAATAGCATCTTTTTCTTGAATATTTTATATACTTGGAAGAATTTATTTTCTTTTTAAGAAAAAGTCTTCAAACTTCTGCTTGAACCACCCCTTGTATTTTTTGTTTAATTTTTTGTCCAGTCTTAAAAATCCTAGTTTGTAGAACATTAAATTATAGATAATGGGAACATCTTGGAGAGAAAAAACCCCGGGGTTTCATCTTCAAGAATGATTGCAACTTCATTGATAATACTATTGCATATCACACTTCTTCAAAAAAGTCAAAAGTTGCCAACCAAGAAGGGGGTACTTTATTTTTGGGTTTTTTTCTGCGTGTTTTAGAGAAGGTTGCTATTTGGAAACTTTCATTATAGCCTGTTTTAAAAGCAGTAATCTTTTAATTATCTTTCCCTCTGAAGAGGTCAAGAAATACTATTTCCCCTCATTGGCATTGAGACAAAAGTGATAGCATTGTGGCTATGGTGTTAATAAAGACACTTTTCAATAATTAACATTATTATTAGTCGTTCTTATATAATGTCTTTTTCATCATTATTCTATTACTAATTTGAGCTAAATTCTTCCCATAATGAAACTTTTTTAATTAGAGTTAATTTTTTCTTTGTATTTTCAATTCTGTGGCATTTTATTAAAAAAAACAATTGAAATATCTGAAGATCTGAGTCACATGTACATAAAAAGAAGTAAATGAACAAACATACATATGTATATATAAAACTGCTAACACTGAAAAGCTGAAAAGAAGGCAGGTATACTTTTTATTAAAAGTGTGATAGTTTTAAACTGATTTTGATGTATTTGTTCTAGAATTATTTCGAGGTTAGAAACAAGTTGTCCTCTCTATTCAGTATATAAACAAAAGTTTTTGTGAGAGCCGTGAAAATCGATCTCAAAGAGTTACTAAATAAATGGGTGGTTTTCATCTAACAAGAGATGTTACAATATAAAATGGTATTTTTAAAGTAGTATCTATTGTCTCTGCATGCTTAAATATATTCAACTTGAAAGCGCTTCTGTATACCATACTTACTATCCCATGCTATAGTTGAATGCAGTGCAGGAAAGGATCTTAACTGGCAGAGCTTAACTCCTATACTGTTTCCTCTGTGTTATTTCATGCACTCGATAATACGATGTCTTGAATGCACCAGTTAATAGGACTAGATCATGAAAATGTCCTCATTATAAAAAGTAACTCTTTTTTAATAACCTTCCTCTTTATTGTCTATTCTGGTGAGGTTTTGCCAGTTAAGAGTTCTAGCTGTTTATCCTTTATACCTTCCTTAAACTTTTAATGTCAAATTCCATACAAGCATAGAATTCTTTGTACAATAAATCCCTGAAAAAGTAAAATTCTTTCTCTTCTAATTCACAGTGGCAGCTAGACTGTCTTGCTTGCTTGCTGAAGCTGATATGCCAGTTTGCAGTTGATCCATCAGATTTGGATTTAGCTTACCATGATGTCTTTGCCTGGTCTGGTGTAGCAGAGAGTCACAGAAAAAGAACATGGCCAGGCAAATCAAGGAAGACTGCAAGTGAGCATGGAAAGGGCCTTCATATACCTCGTTTAACAGAGGTAAGAGAGAAACAGCGTGTCCGTTTTGTGAACTTCAGAAAAATAACTCCTTTGTTGTGTGAAGCCTTTATTTTGGTAATAAAATAATGTAGTGAAAAAGCTACTAACATTAATCTATATCCTGCATATTTTCTCCTCTAAAAAGTAGTTTAATTGCTTTAAACCTGGCAGTTTTAAAAGCTGGAACCAAAAGGTTTTTTGGTGACGGGTGAGCACATGAATTGGGAATTCCCAATTCCAGCGCTTTATCACTGTTTCATAGATTTTGTTTTCCAAATTAATTACTCCTTGTTTTTATGGTAACCTGTTATATGGGCTGTCCCCATCCTCACTAAATCCATTGTAAATTCCTTTAGTAAACACTAAAATAACTTACTGTGCTAAGGATATCCGAGTGAGTGTATGGTAAACTTACCTAAATCTGTAAACCTTCCTGCCAGATTCCTGCATGCTAATTTCCTAATGTAGACCAAGCATGATATTTAATCGGTAGTATTTTGGCATCAGAGACACGTTCACTGTAAATCAATTGCTCTGGGGCACAGGACCAGCTGGGATTGCCAGAAAGTGTAGATGTGAACTGTGAGCTGGAGCCAAACTTCCCCTTTGTCATTGTTATACATGGAAAGACCTTAACTATTCTATGAGTATTAGGTGTTTTTGACAAAACAGTTCCTAAATTGCCAAAGCTACTATTATCCAGCTACTATGATACAGGGAAATTATCAAACATATTAAATTTTTTTAACATTGGCTGTGTGTAAATGCTGCTACCAGTTTCTATAACTGGTTTTAAATTTTTAATTGTCAATTGATGAGTATTTTTTTATGACAGTGGATTTGCTATCTAAATATTTGAAAAGATTTTCTCAGACTTCAATTTGAAAATTCTCTGTAGCCTGTCATGTTCTCTAAAAATGAATAATCTAAGTGAATGTATAGTTGATAATATGTGTTGATCTCCGAGATAGGCAAAATTTGTATATCTGACTTCATCCTCAACCCTGTCTCTTCAAGCCTAAGATTTTTAAAAGGAAGTGCATAGTGCTTTTAAAAAAAGACTGTGTTTTTACTGAAAGGATTGAATGAATGGTTGATTTTTCTATTCAGTTAAATTGTCTTTCTTGGAGAAATGGAGTGAGATTTTAGCATCTAGACTTAGTCAATGAAACACAGGATTTTAGAGCTGTTTTAATAAAAAACAATATGGAGACGCTATGATTTGTCTTTTGCTCTTCCTCCCTCTACACAGGTGGGTTTATTTGAGATTCACACAGTGTGTATAATTTAAAAACAGATCAAAAAGCTTGTTGTTATATTAACTGTTTTTTTTTTTTTCTTTTGACTTCAATTTTTAAAGGTGTTTCTTGTACTTGTCCAGGGAACCAGTTTGATTCAGCGACTTATGTCAGTTGCTTATACATATGACAACTTGGCACCTAGGTACAATATCTTCTTATTTTTGTAATAAAGCTAATCAAGTGTGCATATTTTCATCCCTGCTTTAAATAAAGTAAATAGCTCTTTCAGTTGTAGTCCCCATTAACACCCATGTCAGAAATTTAAGTCTATAGGCATTAGACTTGCTTTTCTTAGTCACCTCTTCTGGTAGTTATCCTACCCTTATAGGAGGAGTGGGTGAGAGGAGAGTGGCAAGAACTCTCAATGGTCAGGGAATAGGACATGGGGCAACAAAATATATATGGTATGCTCTCATAAATTCTCATGCTAAAACCATTTCTTTCTTCTGTCCATAGCAATTAGCATTCTCGATTTCAAGGCAGTGTGAAGGAGAAATTAAAATAAATTCACTTTTAGGCTGCTTAGTCATCTGCCAGTTTTGACTTACTTTTCCCATCCTAATAACATTAGCTTATTACTGCTGAAATTAGCCTTACTGTTTTATTGAGTGTGCATGTACTGAAGAGAAAATTTTACCTTCAGAAACAGGCGGTTGGAGATTTGTGTCCTTTTTGCCTTTTGTCCTGAGAAAAGCAATTCTGTGTAAGATTGCATCATGACAGAGTCGGTCTGATGGTGGGGAGGTCAGCTGTTTTGCTGCATTGGTGGATTCCAAGTAGTGGATAGTGTGTTTTACCATGTATTTAAAACATTGTTAAGGGCATTCAGAGCATTTCAGGTTAAGGCTGCAAGTGTGCCTAACTTTAACCTCTAGTTGAGTTGTAGGAATAGTTTTAAATATATACAGTATGTTTTTTGATTTATAACCTTTTATTGCAATTTATAAAAAGTAAGTAAATAAGTACAAACATTTAAAATTTTTCTAAAGTGAGCAAATGTTTGTTCAAAGTGCGGTTCTCTGAAGAATACTAGCTTTCTTCTTTATGGGTCAGTTCTTAGTTCTATTTTACATCATCTCTTTTTTTGGATGAAATAAAGGGGTTGTGGGTATTGTTTCTTGACTTTTTATCTGTCGTAAGTAAAGCTTTGAGGGGGTGACTTGAAGATTTTAATAGTTTTATTATTGTTGCTGATTTTGCATGCTGCAAGAAATGAATCCTAACATGAAAATTTTAGTTCTCTTAGTGGGTACTTAAGAATAACTGTGTTTGTTACTTGTGTGTACCTGTATTTCTAAGTGATAATCTGTTAGAATACATTCTATGATAGAGTTCAAATGGCTTTATCTTCTTCCTCCTGTTCAGGGTGTTGAAAGCTCAGTCTGATCACAGATCAAGACATGAAGGTTAGTGCTGCAAAATAGCTATATGTTATGAACTAGTAGTAACAAAAACATATTGAAGATAACAAATTACGTGTTTGTTTTATTCCACCATTAGAGTGCTGTAAAATTGTATTCCTTGGTAGTGATAGGGCTGTTATAATCTAGGTGGGAACATGCACTGGAATTCCCTTCTGGAAATTGTTTTATATGAACTGAAATTTTGTACTGTAGCTATGCCTTCACCTCCAGAAGAGCTGATTTTGGAAGGAAAACCAGCTGTATTCTTCTCTTCCAAAGAGCAACATGTATAACATCGTAATAGAGTCACCAGTAGTCACCTTTCCTCTGGTTTACAGAAATCATTCGGGGCCCAGAATTCCTTGGAGCTCCCCCATCTATCCCTCTTGTGGACGTTTCTTACAAAAGGTCTAAATGACCTGTGTCAGATTAAGTCTGTGTCAAAGTAATTGTCCAAAGCACAGCACAGGCGTGCATTAAGAGTAAGGGTGTCCTCCTAGGCTTATATGTTGCCTTCAGTTTTTCCACTTTGTTCTCTCCTGCGGATGTTAATGTCTATGAACTCGAGTTCTCAGAAAATGCTATGTATCACCTACCAAAGTCTTACTTTTAGCAAGAAAGGAACAGATATACTAGTTAGTCCAGGGAAATTTTCATGTTAAGACATGATGCAGCCCGTTAGCAAAGTACCAGCTCACTGCTTAAGAAGTAGAGATGCAGGAAGGGATTGTGCCCCAGACTGGTAATACTCAGAGTAACCTAATTTAATTGTCATCAGTCGTACAATGGTCACTATTTAGTAAGCATACTGGTAAAATTCTGAGTTTAGGGAGTATCTTACATGCCAGTAAGGATTTAGTCTTGTACGTTAGTATGACTGAAATAAACGTCTCATGTTCTAGAACTATGGAACTCTTTGACCTAAAAATCCTCTTCTGTTATACAGCGTGATTTACTTTTACCTTATTTCCTTTCAGTCACTCATTATTCCATGTGGCTCTTGGTGAGTTGGGCTCACTGCTGTTCCTTGGTGAAATCCAGTCTGGCGGACAGTGATCATTTGCAAGACTGGCTAAAGAAACTTACCCTTCTTATTCCAGAGGTATGTTAAAGGAGAAGTTAGTGCATTACTAATTAGTGCATAATGTGGAACAAGATTAACTTTAGTTTCAAGCTTCCATTAAATTCAAAACATGTTGCTTCCTGCTCAAAGTAGGCAGGATCTGACTCAGTTACTTGCAATCCCATTTAAGAAATAATCATTTGTATTTGAAATACTGTGTAAGATGGCACATTTGTGGTTGATTGCTAACCAATTATAAACTCTCATCCTTATTCTTGGCTTCTGTTTGGAGGTCATTTTTTTCATTATAATTTGTTGAAATTTCAGAGTGATGCACTTTAACGTGGATTAAATATACTTCCCTCCATTATATTACTTTTTCAGCTATACTTTTCGTCACAAAATGAGGTGAATGAGACTTGATCTAAAAAAGTGCAACACTAGCAAATCTTTGCTTAGCTTTAAGTAATTTTTTCTGATATAAGAAAAACTTGAAAATTGCATAAAGATATGCATAGTAGAAAATTTTTTGTATACACTAGTGGTTGCCTAAAGGGGCAATATGGACATGATGTGATAGTTATTATCTGTTTCCTTATTACTCTAGCACAGAAAAAGCTTACTTGCTGACTTCATTTTAAAACCCTGGGGAAAAAAAAGAGTGCAAACTTCCAAAGCTGGATTAGAGATAGTGGATATTTTCCTTAAGAAAGAATAAAAGAAAGAAGAAAATAAGTCTTCTAAGGAAATTAAACAAATTAACCATAGTTAGGGATGAGTAAGTATAGGTTCCAGTATCACATAGTTTCCCTAATTTGCCCAGTTGTGATATTTTCTATTTTCGTAATAGGCTGTAATCTTTACTGTAGAAAATACATAACTCAAGAGACAAGGGGCACAGACAAATCAGCTTTTTTCTTAGAACAGTATCTTTTGCAGTTTTCTGTAAGTAATTTAAACGTATGTTGCTTGTTGTATGTGTTTTTAGAAAGGCATGTGCTACCTTGATAACCTGATAGGTATTATGAGAGAAACTTAATTATGTACATCTGAAAGAAAAGTCAACGAAAGAAAAAAAAAGGTTCTAAATAATGTGTATAATCATTTAATTCTTTTATTTTTCATAAAGACTGCTGTTCGCCATGAGTCTTGCAATGGTTTATACAAGTTATCTCTCTCCGGTCTGGATGGAGGAGACTCAATTAATCGATCCTTTCTGCTGCTGGCTGCATCAACGTTATTGAAATTTCTCCCTGATGCTCAAGCTCTGAAACCGATCCGGGTAAGAATATAAGAAATTACAAGACTTTATCAAAGATCTATTTAAACTTAATTTTGTTAATATAAAAATAAAAAATTATAGCACACATTATCATTATGTGTGCAATACTGTTTCTGATATGCTGAGATATTAAGACTTTTGGTTTAGCTGCTTCCAGAAACTTCACAGAAGTGGTTAAAGCTGTGGCAGTACAGTAATTTAGAGCTTGCCTGTGCTTGGAGAAATGCAGAGGAGCATTTAGGAAGCACTCTTGTGCTGGCATTTTAGTGTCAACGTAACGCACTGTTAGGGAATAACAGCTGTGTTTTCAATATATGCCACAATTTCCCTTTTAAATGTAGGTAAGTCCATAAATAAACCAGTACGTTGTTTTACGTGTACATAGGTACCCACTGTTGTTGTGGCTGAATGTTACTGTTCCCCAGTCAATTGCTGCTGTTTTTCTGTTGGAGTAGTATTGTCCTCTCAGCTCTACTAAATAGAAGAGACTCTGTGGATGCTGTCAAAGCTACTTCAGGAGGAGTTCTCACTGTTAATGGATGCAGGTTAATAGAGATGGTTTGAACTAACCTGGATGATTTTGGCCTAAAGTCAGTTAGGGATTGTAGACCTAGCAATGCATATCAGAGGAGGCTGTGCTGACTTCAATTGATGTAGCTAGATCTGAAGGAGAGCACGTGTATGGACTTGTATGGCAGTGAAGTGTGAACCTGGATTTTGGGTCTGTCGAGCAGTTATTCTTGTGACCCTGTGTGGCATTTGGTTTCAGGTTAGAGTGGCTCGTTCAGTTTAAGTCTGCTTTCATTTTAAACTCTGTTGATATTAAAAAAGAAAAAAGTTAAATTAAAACAACCTACAGAAGGTTTTGCATTATTTGACTCGCTTGCAGAAGAGTTTAAAATTAGAGTTGTACTAACTAATGTTGAATTCAGCCAAAGTTGCACCCGTTTTGTCTAGTCTAACATTGAAACTTTTGCAATTTGCAGTGGTTAGGATGGAGTCAATACTATTTTAATTTTTTTTTCTTAAGTGTCTGGCAGATCATCCCAATAACCATTCAAGAAAATTAATAAAAATTTCAGAAGAAAAATAGAACATGCACTGTTTCCATTGTAAAATATATTGTTCTTGTACTTGGCTTATCTTAAATAGGGGCTTGTAGAAAGTAATATTCTTGGAACAATTACTGGGTTTACTACATTTTTTTAAATACACGGTTATTTTGTCTGATGTACTTCAGAACAAAAGCAATTTCTTTTCACAGATAGAGGATTATGAAGAAGACACAGTGCTGCGACCAGGTTGTAAGGAATATTTTTGGCTGCTGTGCAAACTGATTGATAACATACATGTCAAAGATGCAAGTCAGGTATGTCTTGCTTTGCATTCATATGAATGTTTGCTTTTTAAATTTGGGTATTCAGACCACTTTTACTTCAGTATGAGACATTTTTAGTTAAGATACGGTGAACTGCTGTGAACAGCTCTTGGATCTTTCCTGTCTCCTGATGTGTATTAAGTAGCTCTTGGCCAAAGGAAACTTCAGATACCGAATCTGTAGAGTCAAGAAAGGGGAATGGGTATAATAGACAAATAGGGTGAACTTAGGTGAAGGTAACAGACATTGGGGAATGCTGCAATTATCTGTGAGATTCACTGTTGATAATTTCGATGTGGTCTGTGGAGGAGGTACTCGAGTATTTGACTAAAGCTGAAAGAGGAAAAAATTTCAGTTAACAGACGCTTAAGCACAGGTTAGAAAACTTATTCACAACTTTTGAAACATCTCTAAAGGGTTCAAGTTACCTTTTGGGCAAACTGCAACTGCTTGTGCTGGCTGGCGGTGCTGCATAAATCTCTCTAGTTCATTCTCAGTCTTGTGGCAGGAGTGTGGGAAAGAAAGATAAAACCTTAATTCTAGTTTCTCCAGAATGGAAAAGTCTTGTCCTCTCCTAACTCTGAATGTTCCCAGTAGAGGCAAAAATTTTGCTTCCTCCCCCCATCATTCCTCTGCTCAGCTTCCTTCCATGTGTGTTTTATTAATTGAATCTCTTAGCTAGGCTGCAGTTCTGCTTGCTTCTCTGCATGTTGCTCAAACAAGAAATGCTAATGGGACTTTTCAGCCTTCTAACAACAAACTGTGTGTTCTTGTGAGAAACAACAATTAAACACTTCTCTTCAAAATATTACTATTCCATTTTTTTTTGGTATGTAGATGCAGTATATTTCTGGGATCTGGAACTGAAAGAATAAATATGACTTCATTTGAACTGTACAGCATTGATTTTTAAAAACATATTAAATAAATGATTTTATAAAAATGTATTAAAATATTGTTGCAAGGATGTTAGAAAGAGAAGTTTTAATTGTCCCTGTTTTCCTGTGTGCAATAACAAAATTTCATCCAAAAGCACAACCATAGTTTCAAACTAGGCTTAGAAGTTGTAATTCATGAAGTACATAAGTGTTTTCCATTTATATTCCATTTTCTTTATTTTTAATCAGACCACACTGCTTGATTTAGATGCACTAGCAAGACATCTTGCTGACTGCATTCGGAGGTAAGGTTTGCTAACAGTAATTTCACTTAGAAGTTGAGTTACATTTATTGCTAGTGGGACAGAATTTTAACATTTATTTTGTACTTATGTGTATATATAGCAGAGAAATCCTAGACCACCAAGATGGTAATATAGAAGATGATGGACTTACAGGACTACTTCGTCTTGCAACAAGTGTTATTAAGCACAAACCACCCTTTAAATTTTCTCGTGAAGGCCAGGTAAGAAAAGGACACTGAAAGACCGTGAAGAGATCAAAATAGTGTCATCTCTTCTTACTGTACTTTGTTCATTTCACTTTTTCTTGCTGTTCTGATTGCAGGGCTCAATATATGAGAGTATATCATATTTCTAGCCTTAGGATGAAGGGGAAACACACAACACATATAATTCCTTTATTAAAAAGTAGCACGTAACTGTTCTAACTATATTTAATTTGAGGATAGGGTGCTCACATCCTAGAAATTTTATTTATTTTCTTTTTTTTTCTTTAAATGTTTTTAGTATAGATCCACATTAATTGGTTTAAAAATCATTAACAACAGCTGCTTTTTAACCATATCTTGGGACAGCTGTCATCTAAAAGTAGCTTTTAAGCTCTGCGTCTACCCAGTGGCAGACACCTGTTAAAAGAACATTACATTCCACCTGTGCTTGTAAGATGGGAGAGTGGCTAGGCAGGGGAAGCTGCTAAAAAATTTCTACTTCGTGTTTTGGGGCCACATTGTCTAAAAAAAAAAAAAAAAAAAGAATAAATTCATGGTGTGGAAGCTGACTTACACTGAAGTTTTTGCCTGATGTAAAAACTGACTTGAAGTGATTTTTTTTTTTTTTTCAATAGACTGTACTGAGCTTATGATTGAGCTGACCTTTATGTACTTGCATGTACTGAGCTTTAGTAAGGTTTCACCAGGAAAATAGTCCCCTGTATCCACTTACGTTGCATATATCCTGTGTGTCACTCTGTTATCAGAAAATGGCCCTGAAGGTGATTTTAGTGTCCAAAAGTTTTAATAGTGTCCACATTGTGCACTGCCTAACATAAAGTAATATTGCTGACAGCATTTTAAAAGACTACTACTATGTAATTCTCCCAGAATAAGTGTATTTTAAGTATGGAGAGCTTGCAGATTAAGTTAGAGCAAGATTTTGATTCACAGAGTGCAGTGTGGAGGATGATGTAGAAATTAAAATAGAAGAGGTATGCAAAGATCAGATTTACATAGGTTGGCTACATGAAAAGTGTAAGAGGAAAGCAAAATTGATTTGAAAAACGGATGAATGTGAGCATTCACAGAATGAATGAACAGAGCAGTATCCACAACAAAATTCCCAAAAATTGGCTTTGCTGAGAGACAGGGACTTAGTACATTTTCTGTGACTAAGTCATGATCTACTGTTAATTTTTTTAATTCTGTGTAAAATCAAAAACACTTCTTAACTGCACATTATAAAGTCCATTAGTGAAGAGTTTTGTATTGTGAAACCGCACGCTTCCCTCTGGGCAAAGGCTGGTGAAAAAATATCCAGGAAAATCCATTGGCAAATACTGACGATAGTTTAGACTTGCCCAGAGGATCGTGATGCTCCGTTGGGCCTTTGCTTTCCTACAGATTTCTTCTCTTATTAAGTAAACAAAATTATTGCCTGGCAAATATTGTCAAACTTTAAAGGTCACATTTTGTTACAACAATAGATACTCGATCTACCTTCTTTGATGTCTTTTATAGATAAACACTGCCTACCTTATTCTACACTAAGTGGACGAAAGTACATTTTTAATAGACAGTAGCTAGCACATCTTCACTAGAAAGGTATATCTGAAGGCCACTTTGATGGTAGAGAGATATATTTTTAATAAGATCGGGGTTTTGCGTTTTAGCCTCTGAGCAAAATTGTCTATAGAGTTCTTTGAATTCTGACATGTTGGGGCAGGGAAGATAATCAGCAAAAATACAAGACTGAGAGTGTTAATCAGAAAAAGATAGATTCAGATCTCTGAAGTTACTGCTTTTCTAGTCTGGGACACCCTAAGGTGGCTGGTGTGTTGAAACACCTGTTTGAAAAGGGCTTCAGAACAACACTAGGCTGCAGCTGAAAGCGCAATCTAAAACTTCACTTAGTAGATGCAGCTTGTCTGCTGATGAGCTGTAATCATCTACACCTGACAGGTATGGTTAGGAATGAAAAGGAATCAGACTGCTGCCCCACAAGCACTCCTGATACAGACTAACTACCCAGAAACCAGGTATCTATTTATTTTTTATTTTATGCATTTTCTTTCTCCAATGTGGGGAGAAATCTGGAAGAACTTTGATTAACTATAGGCCAGAAGACCTCTCCATATTAGTCAGCTGTGAGCATGACACCCCGTTTGTAAGATTTTATATTACTACTGTAGGAATTTCCCTGCACACCTGAACAAGGCTTTTTATGGTGATTTTGTTGCACACTCTACAGAAGGCCATTTTGGGAAATATTTAGAATTTAGTTATCTTTTACAGCAGTTTGGCCTTTTAACATTAAAAGGCTGCTTACTGATTATACCTGAAAGGGGAAATTCAGGAGGGACATTTTTTTAATTACTGTCTAGAAATAGTAGAATGAAGAAGAATAGCTGGATGGTAGCCTGTGCTCTACAAATGGAGGAAGAATTCTGTCCCTAAAAAAAATTCAGGAAGATATCTTTGGGGGGGCGGGAGGGGGGAGGAATTTAAAATTCTACAGAGGCAGAGGATTTCTTGTCTGATTATGTAAACAACTAAAATGACACACTAATATATTTAATGCTTAAATACAATTTTTTAGGGTTGCAGATGTTGTACAGAATTGTTCTGTAAATGATAGAGGTATAGAAAGTCTATAGCAGTTTCTAGAAGATTGTTAATACATGACTGTCATCTTTTAAGAATGTGTTCAAACTACTAAACCTGCTGATTGAACCCTTTTACAGGAATTTCTGAGAGACATCTTCAATCTTCTGTTCTTGCTGCCAAGTCTGAAAGATAGACAACAGCCAAAATGCAAGTCACATTCTTCAAGGGCTGCTGCTTATGACTTGTTGGTAGAAATGGTAAAGGGGTCCGTGGAAAACTACAGGCTGCTCCACAACTGGGTTATGGCACAACATATGCAGTGTAAGAACCATTATTCATATATAGCTTTTGAGTATTTTGTGGAAAACTAGTCCATGTATATTTTCTGTGGATTTTGGTTTTGTTTTGAGTTTTTGGATTTATAAAGCTCAGTAAAGAAAATAGGAGTGTACTTGTCATACAGACTCCCATTCTGCAGACTGCATGTTCATGATGGGGATGGCTAGCCACCGTTGTGAACAGTACTGTGGTCATGGAGTTTCCGTTTCCTCCTGAAATACATCAGAAGTGTCTGCATTTAACGACTTCCTAAAAATAATGATCTGTTAGGAATGCATAGGTAGAAACAGGGAAATGCAAAAGTGACGCGCAGTATTTTTCGATTTAAACTGAATAGTCCCACTTTCCAAAAGTAGTAACGAAGTTGCCACTAACACTGCTCTTAAAATTCCCCTTTGTAGCTCTACTACTTACAATAGTAAGTATCGTCGTAAGTAAGATAGTGTCGCAGAGCAGATATAGACATCTTTTGCTCACCTAGCAAATGAGTGGATTTAATCACGTGTATAATTTCCAGATCCTCTGTTGTTAAATACGGGTTATTGAAAGAATGTGGTTCTCTTAAATGACACTGGCACAGAGATAATCTTGGAGTGCATTTTACATGTTTCATTGACTTGTGCTGGTTTTTAATTTCTGCTTTCCCTTTCTAACGTAGAGAAACGTAGCATGTTTATGCATAAACCAAAGTACATAAACCACACTGAGGTACTGTAGATTTGTTGGCTATTCACAGCACTGTCATGTTTTCAGAGTCTCTAATATCTTTGTAGTTGACTTTCAGTCTGTACCCAGATGTCTGCATACAGTGTTAATACAATTTTGTTATGCCTCTTGGCTTTCATGCTTCCCGTGTTTTGGAAACTCAATTCCTGTGTATCATATGTAAATTACCAAAATTTGAAGTTAGTTAATATTTTATCTTTGATTTGCAAATTCTCATTATGCATTTTTAGCTTGATAGATTTCCTTTCAAATGCCCATCTTAAATTCCTGTAACCTGAGGATCTGTAATTTATTATAATCTATGGAATTGATTTAGTGCCTTACAATTCGGGAAGCAAAAGGGAAATATCATCGTAGCAATGTTTTGTGTTCTGTACTCATATGCCTGGGGCCTTCTAAAAAGCCTTCAAAGTCTCCTATGTTCAGGGATGATACTCTGAAGAATATGTTTCATGAAAATATTGGATATTTCTGTTTGCTGTGAGTATATCTGCTGCTGCTGAGATTGTCTGTTTCTCTTCAGGTGCAATCATTCACTTTTTACAGTTAATATTTTTCTCACTCCAAATCCCGGTAATTCCTAGGTGCTGAAGTTTCTTGTAACATTGACCATAGTTGCTACTTTCTTCCAAATACTCCCCTCTTAGATTGTTTGTTCCTTCCTGAGTTCTCCAGAGCCATCTGGTCTGTGCTCCTGCTCCGTGTTCAGTGTATCTCAGTTTCGTGAATGTTAATTTTATTACAGCTGGCAGAGTGCCATTGTCTCTTTCTGACATGCTACTGACACAGGACTTCTGATACCTTATTTGTTTAAAGTCTTGTTAGTCCACTGATGTGATCCAAAGATTCTTAAAACTGGATTTTTCCACTTTGCTTATCTCTGTAATCTTATTTGTCTTTAAAAATCTTAGTCTTAGGCCTGTCTGTCCATTCTTCTTAGGAGAAGTATTAAGGAAAACACTACAAATTTTCATACTGTCTTTGGTTTTAAAGTTTTAGTTTTGTGGTTCATTGGAGAAATTTTCAGTCCCGCCACTGTTGTTGTGGTGGGACAACAACAACAACTGTACAGTTGCTGTCCTATAGTCTCACCAATTGCTGTCTCTGCCATTCTACCATTTTTTCTCACACTCCTAACTGATTGAAGCCAGGATGCTCTTAAGAGATGGCTTTAATTTAAGGCAGCAAAATAAAGTAAAATTTTTCAAAAAAACCCGTTGTCTTAAAGGATATCGAGTACATTTTCCTTGGGACAGGAAAAAAAAGTTAGGGTTCTAATTAAAAATGCTGTTACTAAGACTCTATTCTGGCAGTCATATTAAAATGTATGACTGTATACTGTTCTTCAGACTTATACTAGTATGAGTAATGTAAAGTAGTTGTAGTAAAGTTTTAACTGCAGGAGCATTTTTCTTTAAAATTTCCACTCACGTAGCTGCCTTCATTGATGGGTAGAACTATTTGCTTGCTTTTTTTCTGCTTCACAGATACAGTGTTTTTAACTGAAGACATAGGGAAGCCTTCGTGCATTCTCAGCAAGTGATACATAGGAAATGAACTGTTAAGTAGCTGATGTCAGCTGACTCTTCTCCCTTTTCTCAACAGGGAGGGCTTCACACTTAATGCAGACTCTGATCTTACGGAAAAATGGATTTAGATACCTTCTGTTCACAAAATTTCTTGCAGTGTTTTGGAGTTTTGCTTTCTTTAAAGACCAAGACTAATAAAAACATCTCGTTCAAAGGAGGAAAACAAGACCAGCTGCTTTGCTTTCCAGGAAGTTTAAGATAGTGTCTTATGTTTGGAGCAGAAGCATGATCAGAAGGTGGAATATAGAGAAATGCGCCGTCATTTGAAGAGGAAGAAATTCAGTTTTATTTTGCTTAAAATAGAACGTGAATATTTTGGTTGGGTTAGAAGTTTCCCCTATCTCTTCCTGAGAAGAGGCTGTTTTCTGTAATGACAGTGAGAAATAAAGATGACAGGCATAAATGAGGCCCAAATTTACCTATCTAGTTAAGATCCATATGGAAGACGGAAAACTTTTATTGAAGACAGTTGCTGAAAACTCCTAGGGTGGAGAAAACAGGATCTTCCTGAGGAATTCCTTGTCCAATTTCTGAAAGTCCTTTGTCAGCCTGAAGTTGAAGGAAGATACTCCCAACTGTTCTCATGAAGTATAAAGAAGTCATCCGATTTTTCTGTAGTTCTAACTTGATGAGCTGTAAGCAGAGTGATAGATGCTGAGTCCTGATGTCAGAAGGGGTGAATTAAGATGCTGCAATTTAAGGATTCCAGTTAAGGGAAGGGAATTTTGTGTTCTTCTGTCATACTCATTACTTTCCTTAGGAGGTTAAACGTGGAGGAGAGCTTTGTTTCAACTGGTTGATCAGCCCAATGTAACTAGGTAATATGAGGTCATGCTACTGAGATTTGTTGAAACAGGAGAATTAAAACTCTTTCCTTCCCTAGTTGAAGCTGCAGGGCTAATACATGTTTTGATGCTAATGCCAAAATGAAGATTACAACAATTATTTGTTGTGCAACAGAACGTCTTGTGGGTCTGGTCTCCGAAGATGTGAGGATCTGTTGAGAGGATGCCAAATAGTTTCCTGAATTTATAGCTGGTAGTATGAATTGAGAAGAATCCTTAATGAGCCTTTAATCTTTGACAAAATAATTAAGGATTTAAAATTTAAATCTTAAACCCACGTAGCTTTCGTGGACTGTAAAATAAATCCAGGCTACTTTTTTGCCTTTTTTTTTCCCCTGTACAACTGAGCATATACTTCAACAGAGGTGCTACATTATTTGTAGGACACTATGTTTTTGGAGAATGACATCCTTGAGGATGAATAGCAAAGCTAGACTCATTGCAAGCTTTTGTGTCAAACTCCTTGCATACCAGGGAAGATAGGCTGCAGTGAATTTCTTTGGACACTGGATTAGTTCCTCTGTAATTTAGTGCTTGTGTCATCTAGTTGCCTCTGCAGCTCAAATGATTAATTCCCTGTTCTATTCTCCTGCATGGGATGCTAGAAAGAGAGGCCCATCAGTGTCTAGAAGCAGTACTAATCACTTACAAATGGTTTGTCTAGTTTGGTTACCATCTTCTTGACTGGCAGATGAGGAGAACTTTCCCATTCTTCCAATTTCTTGGCAGCCATATCAGAACAAAGCTTATTAAGAAGAGTCTGTCAGACTTGCCTAACTTGTCTAGTGCCATGCTGTGTAAGAAATAGATTGCTACATCTGGTATGAAATATAGAGGAATAAAAAGCTTACAGGAAAATAAAATGGCTTTTCAATCTGCTTCTCTAGGCAATTCACTTCTTGCTTACGCCTATTTTTCTTGTAGATGGCAGATTTCTTTGATACATATAGCTTTGAAGTGCAGTAAAAAATACTCCTTCTTTTCCTATAAAAACTGTTCCCAAGTTTATTCAAGCTTGTGTATAGCCAACCACTTTGTTTCCCTGCACTTCTGTGTCTTAACTCTGATAAGCATCTATCCATCTTTTGTACTGGTTGAAAAAGATCTTTTGCTAGCCTGGCATTCATTATAGTAGATGTCATTCTGAAAGCAGCATCTCTTCTGAAAAGGAAGGTCTTGCTTCATATGTGGTTATCTCTGTTAGAAAATCAGTGTTTGTTATATGAAGGGAAGGCTCCCTAGCTTGAGTCTCTGAGTGCAGAGACTCTGCTTTGCTTTCTTTTAATGTGACACGGGTGCATAGGAAGAGATAGTAGAAATTATGAGTAATTTTTGTGCTGGAGGAATGACTGGTGTACGTTTGGGAGCTTGTAAGTGCTGTACGTTACCAGTTATAAGTATGCTCTCAGTGGTTTAGGCAGTGCAGATGTTGTGAGCGTGCGGTGGTTGGCTTCTATTCTAAAAAAACCCTTTCTTATGTACAAAAGATGCATAGCAGCCCGCATTTAATTTATGGGTGCTCTTGATGATGAAAACATTATGTGGTTTTACCAAACTTTGGTTTAAAGGTAGAGGCTGGAAGACCATTACTACGTGTAATACTATCACTAGCAGAAGCGTAAGAGGTGATGCTTGCCATGAATAGTGCTTTGGAGAGCACAGCAAATCACTTGCAACCCAAAGTAGTGTGGCATCTAGAAAGGCTCTCTGCTGTACTGAGTGATTTTCCTGAAGTGCCTATAGTGTATTTTCTTAAAGAGCAGGTACAGTCTGGCTTGTGTCTGTAAATGTAGAATGCATAAACAGGATGTATTTTATTAATGTAAGCATGAAGCTTTTAATTGTATTTATGCCTTTGTAAATTGTACTTCGAATTGACTTTTTTTCTGCATGTGTGACTCTTTATTTTTTTCCCAGCTTCCCATGCACCTTACAAGTGGGATTATTGGCCACATGATGATGTTCGCGCTGAATGTAGATTTGTGGGTCTAACTAATCTTGGAGCAACGTGTTACTTGGCATCAACTATTCAGCAACTGTACATGATACCAGAGGCCAGGCAAGCAATCTTTACTGCAAAGGTATGCTTTGGCGTCTTACGTTCCTTGTGTAGATTTTGGTAGAAGTCTAAATTTAGAATCAGTGCAAATCCTGATCAAGTGCTTTTAAGACTTATTTCTTCATAAAGAGTATTTGTTCAGGATTTTAGTTTGCTTTTTGTTCAGTTGTATTCTTTTTGCTGATGTCTAAAGTGAGAGGTTTTTTTTTAAAATGTATTTGTAATGCAGTATGTTCTTAAGGTGTCATTGTAATAAAACTCATATTCTCAATATGACCTCTCAAACCTGTATTTCTGTTGCTATCAACTAGATTTATTCAAGTTTGGGTTTATGTGAATTGTGTCTTGTTTCTTTACTTCTAGTTTGTCATTTTGTTAGAATAAATGCCATTCTTCTGGAATGTTTATAAAGTCCCAGAGTGTGTATCTCATGCTACCACAAGTACAGCAAGTCCTGTAAATTATTATACATTGGTTAGCTTTCAGAAATAGATTATTACTTCTAGCTATTTATTGTAAAAGAAGAAGTTTCGTTTTGGTCCCTGACATCAACAGGGCATACATAATGTGTGAAACACCCTAATTGGCAGTGACCTCAATTTTTTTTTTGTTATCATTAAGTTACTGGTAGTTGTCACTTAACTTCATCTAGTATTAGCCGTTTATTAAAAAAATAAAAATAATATAAAAGAGAGAAGATGCTGGTCTGCACATGAAATGCATTATATAGAGGGTTGATCAGAACTCCCACACATCTATGAAATCGAAAAAAATTATTCCTAAATTACTACAGCCTTTTGTAATACCTTCCCAAAAGCTCCTAGCTGCAGTAAGTTTTTAGAAAATAGAGTTACTTTTTGACTTAGGTTTAGTGTTGACATGCCAAAGTATGAGTAGGTAGTGCTATATATATATATAAGTGTAAAATACTGTTCTCTGTGTTCTTGTACACAATAATTTTTCTTAATTGTCCATAATAAAGTGGTTGTTTTTTTATTTAAAAAGATGATTGTTTCATCTTTTTGAGGGCTGTTTTTGCAAAATCATAAGCAAAAAGGTAAAGTCTTCTCTTATTAATTTCTTTTAGTATTCAGAAGATATGAAACACAAGACCACTCTACTAGAACTCCAGAAAATGTTTACATACTTAATGGTAGGTGCGAAAGAGGATATTTTGTGAAGTATCCTGTTTTCCTAAGAAAAAGAAAAAAGCAAGAAAAATGTAGTTACCATTCCATACGTAAATTCTTGGCAGCTTAAGTCCATTGTGCCTGAGTTTTGTAAATGAGTGTCTTAACTGAAATAGATTTTACCCGCTTTAAAGCTGTTACTCAGCAAACCAGTTAAGCAGACATCGGCTTAATAGTTTTCATGAAGAGGCAGTGTAAATCCTAACCTAAGATAGGGTTTAATATTGGGCACCAACTATAATGAACAAGCACCAGCTCTCAAAATTTACTGATTGTCTACGATGTTCTCAAAAAAGATGTGTGTGAAGTGAATAGATGGGAATGACAGGCTCAGGTGCCACAGTCTGAATGTCCTTCATTTATTTAAAGTCTTCTAGCCCTAGTACATTAATGCTTAGGTGGACACACGTTGTTTGCCATAGTTATGGCACTTCAGTTATGAATGATTTACAAGTATGAAAATCAAGTCTGCTTTTTAGTTATGGTCGTAGTGTAGCTGTCCTGTATGGACACCTTGTGCACTTACATTACTAAATCTCTCGAGTGGTCCAGGAGCTCCCTGGATAGGCATCTCCTTGGATGCAATAATGGAGCGTCCAACAATAGATCAGTTTGAAACTGGGTAATTGACTGTACCTTCCCAATGAAGTATTTGACTAATTGTTCCAGGAGCCCTCCAGGTAGGAATCTGGGATGGTTCTACTGTTGCTTCTGCTGTGTCTAGTTGGTAAACACTGTTCCTGCAGAACTGATGGCATAGGACCGTCTTTTGTGTGGATTTAAGATATTTATGAGATACTTCATATGTAGTTAAGGTGAATGAATAGTAATGAATTGCACAGATGCTGTGGAGGTCGCGTAGGGCTCTTATCAGCTGGATTATAAGACTTTAGCAAAATGGTGATTCCAGGAGTCTCTCCAGGTCTAACTGAAGATGCCACTCCAAGGACCCTAGCAACAAACTTCCATCACCACCAAACACCAACTGGCTGTCCCGTTAGGATGTTGTGATTCCATATGTGAGCACCATACTAAGATCCCAATAAATGATTTTTCTTTTTAACAAATGCCCTGCCATGAGTGTCTGTCCACCACCATTGTCATTCATCTTGTTTCACGTGGACATTGATGTAAGGGGTTCTGAGCTGGATTCTTCGTTGGATCATGAAACAATTTGTTTGCCCCAGTTTCCCTGGTGATAAAGTAAAATATATTACTTTTGTTCATTGCATTTTCCTTGTTCCAGTATTTTAAAGGTTAATCTGTTGAAATAAAGCGTTAAAAAGCAACTAAAAATTTTTCAATTCCTGAACGAGACAAAATTGAGGCAGTTCACAGGTGTTCACTGTTGTTAAAATAGTGAAACATTTCTAAAATAATGAAAAAAAGAAAACTGAGGAGAGCTGAGTGTTTTTGTTCTTGGCACTGGCTTTTGTGAAAGAAATTCATAGTCACTTTGAAGATAAATAGAGGAAAGGAATTCAGGCATGTAATGCGTGCCATGAAACACAGAAAAAAAAAAGTAGGTATTTACATAAGTATATAATAATATAGGAACATAAAATCACATGAAGATTTACCGTTGTTAAAATCTTTGACAAAAGACCTTATTCCAAGAAAGGTAATATTTACAGGAAACACCCTCTTGCCACACATCCTTGAAAGAAAACAGTATGTGTATCATTGTTTACAAGAACAAAGTTCCTTCTGCTGTAAATAAGTTGTGCATTCCCAGTGTGCAAGGCAGTGGAATGGGGAATGTGTTCTAAAGAATTGCTTTATACTGCAAATTCTTTTCTCTGACTGAACACATGCAGTTGAGACCTAGATGATACAGTTTTACACCATAGAGAAGTCTGAATGAGAATTAAGCACTTGTCGAGATTGAAGTCAGTAATGTCCAGAAATACATAACTACAGGCTGTTGTTCCTCATACTATATTTCATATCTGAACAGATATGCAAAAACTGGATGTGTCACATCTTCAGCGAAGTTACTTTATTTTAAGGATTTGTTTTATTAAGTATTTACTAAATATTATTTAATGATATTTTGTGTGTGATATTTTAATAATGAATGTCATAATAATGATAATTGTTTAGTTAAAAACAGCTTTACATTTAATCAGAAACATTTAAGTACTTAAACAACTTTGTTGCCTAATAGACATATGGAGATACTGTATGTAAAAGTATGTCCTTTTTCAAATAGATATTTGTATATGTGTGTTCGGTATATCTGTGTAACTTCAAAATATAAGGGTTTGTGTGTTGAGTTGTTCTGCTTTATTTTTTTACCTGAAGGAAAGTGAATGTAAGGCATACAATCCAAGGCCTTTCTGTAAAACCTATACCATGGATAAGCAGCCACTGAACACTGGAGAGCAGAAAGATATGACTGAATTCTTCACTGACCTAATAACAAAAATAGAAGAAATGTCTCCAGAACTGGTGAGTTATTAAGACGGAGCAAGAAGGAACTTAAAAACTTGCAGATTTGCTCAAATTTCCTTGACAGAATTTATTAATTCATTCACAGAAAAATACAGTGAAAAGTTTGTTTGGAGGTGTTATCACAAACAATGTTGTTTCTTTGGTAAGTATTCTTTCCTTATCCTTATCTTTTCAAGGTTTTTTTAACTTCTCAAAACAGTTATTTCATTGCTTTTCTCCTTCATTGCTGTGATTTAGGATTGTGAGCATGTAAGTCAAACTGCTGAAGAGTTCTATACAGTAAGATGCCAGGTGGCAGATATGAAGAATATTTATGTAAGTAATGCCAGGCTGAGCGGTGTGCCATAGATCACGATTATAAATGGATGCAATCAAGTATAAATGACTGTACCATACGTTGTTGAATAAGTTGATGCTTTATGTATCTGTACTCTAGTTTTGATGTACTTCTAGGTTGTTATTACTAGGTAATTTGGTTGAATTGTTTCATCTTTTCAATGCAACGTGCTGTCAGCTGGTGCCATTTGGAATCAGCTAAAGACTGCGTTATAGTCAGTAATCACTTACTCCCTTCTGTGTTTTAAAAATGCTATGGCCGTGTTTTATGTGAGAGAATTGTAAATGTCAAAAGATGCTATATATACACATACTATTGCTTATGAAGTTTAGACCAAAATGTTTTTAGACTTTCGAGTTTTTTAAACAACTATTGATCCCCACACTTGGAATTTAAAGCACTTGAATTCTTTGGGACAGCTTGGAATATTGAGTACTATTTTTCTCAATTGTTTCCTTAATTTTGTGTTTGAGTTAGGAACTGGTTTTTCTGTAACGGTGTCACACTCTTCTATTAGTTCAGTTGCATGCTCTTTTTGTAAATTTTTTGGTGCCTTTGACCACCGTTATTTCTTGTGGAAATGTTAATTAAACTTACTGTAAGATTGACAGAGAGGGGTTTGTAAAGCAGGGCATGTAAGCACAAGGTACAAATATCTAAGATAAACACAAGTTCCTTCTTTTTTTGTTTATTATATGTAGGAATCTCTTGATGAAGTAACTATTAAAGATACCTTGGAAGGTGACAACATGTATACATGTTCTCATTGTGGGAAGAAAGTGCGGGCTGAAAAAAGGTATGATCACGAATAAATAAGCATTCTTAATGTTTCTTTTTAGTGAATTACTGAAATTACCATTTGGATCAGAGTAATCCTTTAGATGAAACAAGACTATGGTTTCATTCCATTTGCTACTCTGTGGGCCTATGAGGATGTGGACCCTGTGCAAATGAGCACATAACTAAGAAATCTAGTTTCCAAAACAAAGAATATTATGTATCTTAGAAGAAGATCACCCAGACAGTAAAATGTTCATGGCCCTTTTTTAATGTAAATAACAAGAAATTTTTAATTAGTACCTTTTGAAATCTGTTATTTTTCCCATTTTTAAAAAATCAAATTCTTTCAGAGTTTGTTCAGCACTTCTGTTATTCATTATGCAGAGTAATTGCTTAGGTTTCATACATAGCCCCAGATTTCTTAAAGTTCGTAGTTTTAAAATGTTTCCATATTTTTAGAAGTCTGCTAATAAAGAGAAAGCTAAATAAAAATTTTGTATTGTCTTTATATTGCAACTAATAAATTTCTTTGTTAGAGATAGAAAAAGCTCATAGATGTTTTTGTAGCTGTTACAAGTGACACGGGTGAAAGAGTAACCTACTTTAAAGCCGTTAATGTGAAGTTTATGAGATTTAATACAAGATGTGTTCTGCATTGAAACTTGTCAGTGAAAAGATAGTAGCTCTGTCTAACGAGGGAGATTGCAGTGTTAAATTTGTTCATGACTCATTTTATGCTGTCATTTTAGAAAACTGTCATTCATACCGTATGAGCAAATTTGGTGCTTCTTCCAAGACATGACGATAGGCTAAATTTGACCTTTCTTCTGCCAGTTAGACTTCCCTGCTCTAAGGCATTATGATAGCTGAATTCTATGTCTATGTGACTTAGCAATAGATTTCCAATTTTATGTTTGAAATAAATGTGTTTAAAATATTTGGGAAAATACAATTCCTACCTACTAAGCGCTTGTAAAAATCATGGTTATTTCTAATCCTTCAGGGCATGTTTTAAGAAACTACCTCGTATCTTAAGCTTCAACACAATGAGGTATACATTTAATATGGTAACCATGATGAAGGAAAAAGTCAATACACATTTTTCATTCCCTTTACGTTTGGATATGACACCTTACACTGAAGATTTCCTCATGGGAAAAAATGACAGAAAAGAAGGTATGTCTCATAAAATTAATTCAACAGGCTATGTCTCTCTCATCTGTGTACCACTTTCTGTATACATAACATATGCAAACAATTAGTGATTTTCTTTTTAAGAAAATAAAATCAAACATAAGTTTTAATCAACCTATACTCGCAAAGTCAAATATTTCATTTGATATAAGAAAAATAGCCAATTATTTCTCTTTTAATACTGTTCAATTTGGATTATTCTTAAATTGGTTTTTGAAGTATGAGAGAAATTGTGAGTAGTTACATAAAGTTTGTCACTGGCCTGTTTTGATTTTGCAGGGTAATACCTAAACTTCAGCAAATGCCTGACTTAACTGCTGTCATAAATAAGATGTGCTAACTTGGAATAACTTAGTTATTAGTCCTGATCTCTTCAGTAGTGATGCTTTGCAATAAAAGCTGTATCTGTTTCACAAGAATTAGGATCTATGCTGCTTGTTCTGGGTATGGAGTTTCTGACTGTCATCATTGTGGAGTGCTGAAAAGAAAAAAAATTTAAATGCAACTACAGGAAATGTGTAATATTGAAGTTCAGATGTTTAGGAAATAACTGATTAAATATTGAATTAAATAATTTCAGGTTTTAAGGAAGATGGTGAATATTTGAAAGAAACTGAAAGTTACGAATATGATCTGATAGGTGTAACGGTTCACACAGGAACAGCAGATGGTGGGCATTACTACAGTTTTATCAGAGATATAGTCAATCCCCATGCTTACAAAAACAACAAATGGTGAGTTAAGCAAAACAAAATTTTACCATTCCTTATGTTTGAATAACTGAAACTTGTTTGCTTTGTCAGATGTAGTTGTATAGGAGATATGTGCTGTAGGTTCCCCTCAAAAGCACAAGATGTTGGAACTTGATAAGTGTTAAGTATATTAATTTATTAGCACACAAGTTTGTTGTAGCTGTAATAGTTGTGGAGTGCCTTAGACGCAGGGGCAGCAGGAGAGTGCCATGCCAGCCTCATGTTGCAGCCAATGCTTGTTTCTTGGCATGAATATCAATGACTTTATATATAGAAATGAGTAGTAAGATTTAGTAGATTGCTCATCACTTAAAGGACCTTTAAAGGTCCCTTCTAACCCAAACTACTCTATGATTTCTATGAATAGGAATACTTAAATCTGAAGAATCATTTTAAGTGCTTATTATGCTTTGTTTGCCCGTAGAGACAAACAGCGGTTGTTTCAAAAGCTTACTGTTTTGCAGGTATCTTTTCAATGACGCTGAAGTAAAACCGTTTGATTCTGCCCAGCTTGCTTCCGAATGTTTTGGTGGAGAAATGACTGTAAGTTATGACTTCAATTTTTGTCATGTTCAACCATTAAAATACCTGTTCTGGAAACTTGTAAAGCCTGAAGGATTCCATAGTGCTCACCTTTGGTCTGCCATCTGTTGTGAATGCGTATGAAACAGTTAGAAGTGTTAGCTGGGTCTTATTAAACTTTTGATGCCTTTGTTGTGCAGGTGATACTTTATCTTACGTTCACGTAGACAGCTGTTCTTCCACCATCAATCTCTTCAAAGGGTCTCCACCTCCTTTTGGGGGTGATAGACTTGTAAAGTGAGACTGCTCTCAAGCTGGTGACGCAAGCTTTCTAGTTTTTCTACGCTTTCTGTAGAACAGAAATTAAGACGATAAAGGAGAAGGGTCTTAATTTCTCCTGTACCAACTATCATTTAATCTGTGAATAGGAATCCAGATATTTTATGTGGCTTTAAAAGGCAGCTGTCAGAAGTATAACATAGGTATTACTAATGAATCAAAATGCATTATAGTGAAGTCTCTCTCCAGGGAAGAGGTTATTTCTTCACTATATCTATTTTTTATCATCATATTATGTATTTATTTATTAAAAAATGAGTATGCAACTAGTTTAGGAATCCTTCACTTTTATGGCTTTGTTGCTCAGACTGTTGACTGAAGGAATAATTACTTTAAGCTTATGCCTATTCTGGAAAAACAGGGCTTTTTGATCGTTGTCTATGCCTTGTGTCAGTAATTTCCAGATTCTGGTCTGTGAACCTCTTACGGTCAGATCCTTTTTCATTGGTGACAGAACTGAACTAAAAACTTGTCAGATCTGTGTACAGCTTATGCTGTTGCTCAGCAGGCAAGTTTGGACTCTGATATTAGTAGGTGGTTTTCAAGCTAATGGATCTACAGACTTAAGTAGTTTTGCCTGTTCCTTTTATTGTAAGAAGATAAAATTTCTTAAGTTGATGTTTGTTTGCTTTCAGTAGTGCAAGGTTTTTAAATACAGTATCAACTTTGTCTTTTCACCAGCCCACCATCCTTTGACATGAGTCTTAATGTTTTTACACAGTAGTAATACAAGTAACTGTTGAACAACACTCAAATGTTCTCAGGTTATGCTTGAATGGATAATTCTTTTATAATTATATATCATTATATAAAACACATTATTAATAATGCAGTGTCTTACTAAAACAGTCCTGTGAATAAGAAAAATCCTCTCGTCTGGTGAAGAGAATATGCAGAAATAAAACAAAAAATTATTTTGTTTGGCAAATGTATAAAATACCTTTAGATGCCTGAAAAGAGGTGTCAGTGAGATGGATGAGAGAGGAAATTGCAGGAGATATAGGACACAGTATTGCATCGCAACTCTGAAAAATCAGGGTAGGCCACTGTAGAAGAAAAACAGAAAGACAACTACTTTGAGCAAGAAATAAATTATCAGCAGCCTCTCTGTAAATGTCCTGAAATGGTTTGCTTGCACATTTATCTCAAACTGTCAATAACCAGGCCATTAAAAAAGCTTGTAATTAATGGTTTTACTTTCTTCTTGACAGACAAAAACTTACGATTCTGTTACTGATAAATTTATGGACTTCTCCTTTGAAAAGGTATTTCTCTTCCAAACACTTGTCATATGATTATATTTCTACTTTCATGATTTAACTTTCAAAGCAAAAATTATACAGATGTTTTTTTCTTAAAGACACACAGTGCTTACATGCTGTTTTATAAACGGATGGAACCAGAGGAGGAAAATGGCAAAGACTACAAATTTGATGTTTCATCAGAATTGCTGGAGGTACAAGTTGATTTGTTTTAACACCAACTTTAAAATACTGTAGGAAATCCTAAACATACCAGGAATCCGACTAAATGTTAGGAAAGCAAATATAATTTAAATCAGTAAGATGGCAATCCTTTCATTTAGCTTGGGAGCGATGTTATAAGCTTAGGAGAACGTTGTAAGATAGGAAGTAAATGAAGATTTCCACTGTATGTAAATCTCAGACGTTTTCTCATTCTGTCCTGTATTTAATTCAGATATCTGAATCATTCTGCTTCGTATTTGTAAAAAATGGCAGAGCACTGTTTGGTTTTTTTGTGAGTGCTTATCAACATTTTCTGAACAGTCGCAATACTACAGGAAATATTTTCATTAGCCGCCTTCCTTTTCATCCGTCAGTTCCTCAGCAACTTACTGCTTTGAGGCAGGACAGAATAAGATGGTAGCTCCAGCTGTTTGTTTGCACTTTTGCTAGTGGGTTGTGAAATTCTAAGTGAAAGCAATGGAAAATTGTGATTATTTGTGCTTATGATGGGGAGCATCAGTCAGAAAAGGATCCCTTCCTCCCCGTAGTCGTAGCGTAGCCCAAGTGTGAGTAAAAGGGGTAGGGAGAAGAAAAACCAGCAACAGCTACGTCTCCCTGTTCTCCTCAGCAATGAGGCCTGCTCTTAGGATACCTGGCTGTTTATATAAAGATACTATTTAAGCCACATACAGTCTGGGGAGCTGGAAAAGGCACTGCACAGGAGCAGAGTATTTCACTAGGGATCTCACTGTGCTAGATGTGTCCCCAGTAGGGGATTTGTAAGACATTCTTCTCCGTTTTTATCACCTGAAAAGTTGATCAGGTTTCCCTGATCCCTCTGGGCCAGGAGTATTGCTTTATCATCTGTCACATGTTAGGTTCCTAATTTTAGAAGACTCTTCATCCCGAGCCAGCGAATCAGATCATGCTTTTTATCCTTCTCAGTCTTAAAACAATAATAGATTTTATCAGACTGAAACCTATTAAACTATTTTAACGTGAAAAATCCTCAGATTTGGTCAAAAACATCGTTTTGGAGAAAGGAACGGGGGGACCTGGCAGGAAATCCTTTTCTGGTTTATGCTGGAGAGTCAAAGCTTACTCTTCAGGAATTTATCAAAAGTTCACAGAGCTTATCAGGCTTTGGGTCAGAACTTCAACCTTTAGACATACCTAGCTAGGCCACTGCAAAGTCTAATTGATCTCAATTAGTGAAACTAATTGAGTGTTTAGAGAGTTTTTTGGGGTTTTTAAGTTATTACACTATTGCAGACATCAAAATATGGTCTTGAACTGTGGTTCTTTTTTAACATGTTGGACCAGTTCTCAAAATTTCAGCCTAAAAATGTGAGTAATTAAGGTGTAAAGATGAGATCACAGAAAGAGAAGGTTCTGAGCACTGTTCTGCAGTCATACAGCAGGATAAACTAGTATTTGCTATTGTATGAATAAACCAACTTTGCCAATCCTTTAAAGTAAAGAAATGTTTCCAGAAATAATTTTTCATAAGAAAAAATTTTGTTTTTTTGGCCATGGCAAGCATTTAAATATTCTTAGAAACCATGCTTATGTAGTGAAATAAACTGCTTTCTTGTATCTGATGTTAGCATTTTTTCTTCAGTGGATATGGCATGATAACATGCAGTTTCTTCAAGACAAGAACATTTTTGAACATACATATTTTGGGTAAGTTTTTTCATAAAAAATGTAATATTAATGCTTCTTTTCTTCTTGCAGATTTTCATTATTTATTTTAATTAACAAATAAAATTACTGACTCTAGGTTTATGTGGCAGTTGTGTAGTAGCATCCCAAGCACACTCCCAGATCCAAAAGCGGTTTCCCTGATGACAGCAAAGGTAAGTACTTCACAAGTCTATCATGCTTATTTTAAATTTTACCTTGTTTACATTTCAATTCAGGCGTTCTATAATTAATGATGCAATTTTTTTTTTCCAGTTAAGCACTTCCTTTGTACTAGAGACATTCATTCATTCAAAGGAAAAGGTATTCCATTTACTTGTAAATTCTCACTAAGTAACTGCATGAATATAGTGAAAAGTATGTCTGTGTTTTTTCATTTTAAAAGTGTGATTTTGAGATGTATTAAGTACCATAAATGATACAAAGGTAATGGTTGTTTGACACATTTATAGTAAACGCTGCACAGTGGGAAAAAAAATGCAGGTTTTAGCCTGCTTTGCCTCAGCAATGCGTCAGGAACAACAGATCTTGTGTTCTTGTAATTTGAAATTTCCTGGGTGATTCGTATCTCAACGAGCACTTATTAAAGGCTGATGTAGAGGGGAGTGCTTACCACTGAGCAACAGTTGTGCTCATGAATTTTTAAGTTATAAATACTAGCATGAACAGCAAGAAAGCTGTATTCTATCTGAAACATCTTTATTCTCAGTCAGATTTTACTTCTTTCTCATCTGTGGTGGCATAATGCTACTAATTGTAGATAGTCTGGGATTAGTAAGAATATGTAATGTATGTGTAATTGAACAATTAGTCCAAATGTGTGGGTACTACTTGCACTAGTTAAAACACATGTGCTGTTATTTTTGTGTAGGTGCAACACGTTACTAGTTTATAAGGCATTCAATGTTTGTAACTATATTCTTAAGATTCAGTGTTCTAACTGACTACTTAGAAATGTTTCAAGGTTAAGTTGCAATTTATTATTTTAAGTTACATTTTTTTCTGTGTTTCTTTTTACAGCCTACAATGCTTCAGTGGATTGAACTGTTAACAAAACAGTTTAATAACAGTCAGGCAGCTTGTGAAGTAAGTGACTTAGGAACTCAGCAAAGTACAAACCAACTTTCTATATATTGTTTAACTTTCCTGGAGGTTCGTATCCCTGGAATATTTTGGACTATGAAGTACTGTATTTGGCTTATTTGTGTACTATGAGATGAAACTCGTCCTCTCTGAATACTGCAGATTCTGGGGAATGACTTGACTTTTATTTTTCAGAAGCCTATGGTGAGACCACAGGCCAAAATAATTTTGTCACTAGAGTAGAAGACACACAGTGTCACAACCTCTTTATTTGATTATTACATAGGGATTTGTGTAATTAAGAGGTGTTTAAATGAAATCACACAAGCGAAATGGAGAGACAGACTAAAAATATTTAAGGACTAGAACGGCAGGGACTGGAGTTGAATCCAAGGGAAGAAGGCAGTGGGATAAAAGGCTGCGGTGCAATGAAGAGGCTTAGAAAGAGAATAAGAACAACTAACGTCAGACTTAGCTGAAAACAAATTCATATAGTGCCTTGCTTGTGAAGCTGAGGATCTTGAGCCCAGAGTATAGAAGGACTGAAAACTCCTAGAAGAAGGAGAAAAAATGGAGGAATAGTTTGGGGGTTTTTATACAAAGCTTTTTGGGACGCTGCCTGAAGGGCATCTGGCGACAAAGCGGAGAGGGACTGAGAAACCATAGACAAAGAATTCTCTGTGGTGTTGGTGAAAACGATTCTGAGATACTGAAGGAAAGTTTGTGATAGACTTTCTGTGATAGTTTTAATGTACAAGGACCCCAAAACATACTGTATACTGCACAGACCTTAGTCAGTACAAATGAATTAAATTCATTGTTCTTTTATAAATTGATTCTAGGTTGTTAAATTGTTATGTAACATTCAGTATTTGGGTGATAGTTTCATTTGTATGGTGTAGTCCTAAGATGCTTAAAACAAGTGAAGACATTTAGTATAGTAAAAAAACATTCTGGTATCATTAAAAGGAACGACAACTTGGATTCTTTAATTTAAACTGTCTTTCCTTGTGAATAAAATGAAATTCGTGGAGTCAGAATACTCAGCTGCATTATTTGCTGAGTCTAATTTTGAATGAATCGTTCTCTGTTATTTTTACACATTGTCTGTTGCTGGAGGTAGTAAGGCTTTCCCACATTTTAAAATGCAAAAGGGATCTAATTCAGGAACTACATTCTTGTTTAAACCTTTCCCTGTTCTACAAGATTCTTCAGCTTATACTTCATTGTGAGCATCATTTTTTATTCTGTTGGCATCACTTTTCAGGATAAGCGTGTCCTTACAGAGAATTGAATAATGGCATACTGAACCCAGGGATAAGAAGATGCTGGATATAAATTTATATCGATGTTTACTGCTGTTGCTCTTTATTCCTTTCTTGTCATGCACGGAAGATATTTAGATTTCCCTTGGATTAATACTTGCGTATTCCTTAATAATAGTAACATCAATTTCTCTTCAGACTTTAATATCATGCAAAAAGAAGATTGGACTAGAACAAGTTTGGAACAAAACTAACAAAGTATGTATCTTCTGCAGTGGTTTTTGGATCGTATGGCTGATGATGATTGGTGGCCAATGCAGATACTAATAAAGTGTCCCAATCAGATTGTGAGACAGGTAAGGAAAAAATGTTCCTTTTTAAGTCAGGTTACTACTTGACCCATGAACAGAAATGGACAATTATTACGACGCACACAATGATTCTAAAAGTTTTTATTAATACCTGTAATTATCTTACTCTCTTCGATTCGTGCTTGTGATTTAGAGAAGGTATTTGGCCATGGGAGTGTTATTATTCTTTGAAACAAATTCAGTATTCCAGTAATGCTGTAGTTGTACAGTTAAGACCACAAAATGTCATAGTAGATACAAATTAAGGTTTCTACAACTCCCACATGATCTCTAAAAATTTGAACACTTTACATTAAAAATGTTTTTCTTCTGAATTGGTTTAACAATAATGCGTCAAGACACGTACATTCGGAAAATGAAAAACAATAAATTATGTACATTCAGTACTCCTAATGGAAAGCTTCACTTCTAAACTTTTGCCTTTGCGTTTTGTAGATAGACTGAATTTTATAATATTATGCCACAAAGTTTTATTAATACCATGTTCTGGAAATGTTTAAAATTGAAAAACCCTACATTAGTAGCATTTGGATATTCACAGGTACAAATACTATTAATAGTTTCACTTACAAGTGTACTTTCTTTGCAAGACATTTAGGTAAAAACGTCAGCAATTACTTTATCTCGCCTGAACCCTTCAATTGGTTTAACTTTTCTGATTATCAAAGTAATATTTCCGTATAGAACCATACATAGTTTCTGTTTGCAACCCATTGTTAAAGCAATGTATTTCATGGGAGAACTCTATGCAAGATCTTATGCAAAGCTCTAATCCTTGATGAATGTTTTACAAATCAAAAATTACTGGAAGGAGTTTCCTTAAAATTTGCACATAAATTGTTATAGCT